TTTTTTATGGAAGAGCTATCAAGTTCTAATGAAAGATCCAAATAAACCTCTAGTATAGTTATTATTCAGAATTGTAAGCAAATTATAAGCTAAGTGGCATGTCAGTAGGTTAAACTAAAAATGGCTAACAAGGAAAATGAATTTGGCTCAAAGTTTAAAGATCATTCTTGAAATAGATTGAGATTTGGCTAAATTCAATGAAGTTATTAATGAGAGCCAATTCAATGAGGTTATTAATAAGCCAATCATAGAACAAATCAAATGTAAACCAAGCAAAGCCTAGAGTACATCAAACAATATATGCATGCATGTAGAAATGTGCATACACAATATTATATATAAATTTTCATTTTAATTGATGTATATATGCATTTATATACATACACTTAAATATTATTAGTTTAAATGAATATTATACTAGAATTTTATCTTAAGGATAGAAAACATTCAAGATATTCAAATTTTGGCCCAAATGGCAATCAAATAGCAAACCATACTTAGATCGAATTAAGATCTAATCAATCTATTCTAAAGCCAAACTTACTTCAGCTTAAAACCAAATCAAATTACTACGATACAATCATGAATTGAGTTTCAATCAACTCAATATAAATGGTTAACAACTTCTATTTGAGAGTTAAGTACTTTTATGTTGTGTATCCACAACAAAATTTTTAATAAGAAAGTATAAAATATTCTAAACTTGCTAAAGAAGTTAACGTTAATACATCCGATGAAGTACTTCCACTATCTAGCAAATATATAAATGTTTTTTATAGCAAAAAAATTAAAAACCCCAACCCATCTCAAAAAAATGAAAAAACTTCCCTAACTTCATCACCATTACCCTTATCCTAACTACGTGCGATTGGCTTTATGAATAACGACTTTTCCTTGGTTTTTGCTAAGTGTACTCTTCACAAATCCTCTAAACAGCATTAAGTCCATCAATTCGCCTTCCTAATCCATCAACCTTAAATTTATTTACCCATAAAATAGTTTATCATATACTAGTGCATATTTCCAAGCTGCCTAAATCTATTTTTCAGTCTTTCTATCAATAGATGCTACTATAACCATCCATCTAATATACCTGTTCTCCAAGTTATCCTTCCTAGCTTTATGACATCCATTATAAGATTCTCATTTCGGTTACACTTAATTTAACAATCAATGTTTTTCTCATTGTTTAACGCTTGAATTTATACAACATATTTGGCCAAATAGTAATTTTATAAAATTTAAATTATTTCTCAATTTTAGTCCACCAACCAAACTTCAGAAACTATATCATCATTTACATCATTGTAGTTCTATAAAATAAATCCAAAATACTTTAAACCTATAATGAATACTTCATTTTATTAATAATATTAATTAATAATTTATCAATATCAAATCCACTAGAATCTCATATCATATGTGTGATCTTTGCTCTACAAATTCTAAGATGTATCTTCTAAATAATTTCTTGGTTGTTCTAACTTATTAATTATGCATGAAGATTTCTCATCAATTAAAACTTCAAATTGGGTGTGCCGCACAATGAATATAATTTGTTAAAATCCCTATAGCTAATACAAGAACATATGGGATCAATGTTAATCTTTTTTTTTTCCCAAATGAGAGGTGGGGACTCATTGATGTAGGCAGAACACAAATCCAAGACCTTGGTAATAAACTAATAATTTCAAAGGTTTTCATCAATTGAACTAGTTGGCACCCTTGAGTAATTCGAAACCATTCAATTTTTCCACAACTAATAACGCATTCTAATACCAACCAATGCTTTACATTCATGTGTTAAACTTCAACATGCCTTTAACAGACATTTTTCCTCATACATCAAATCAACTTTTCTGGTACTAAATCATATACATCATCAATATCAATAAAAATCATATGAAGATCTATCCCTACATTATACAAAAAAAACTTTCTGAAGGGATGCATGGTAACGTATTTAAGTGGGATTTAGCTTAAATCTTGTCAGACAAAAAAATGACAACTTTAAATCCAAGATTTAGTAAATCCAATTTCTTCTCAGTTTTGCCTTAAATACCAACTTCACGAAATCATGTTATTGGAAGAATTTACTTAATCCAGATGTATATAATTTACTAAAGTTGTTAAAGTTCTTACCATACAGCCCCTTAATTTCCTAAGTCCAAATGTCAATTTTATTTTATATGATAGGCAAGTAATTTAATAAGTTAAATATTGTCTAGCATGTCAAATGACAATTAATTTAAGGTTTGAGGAAGTTCAAGAAGTTCTACGAACAGGAAAAAATAAATAAACCAATGCAAATAATCATGTGATCGAGATGCTTAAAAAAAAATAACATTAATATTAATGAATAATTTTCTTCGGATTACTACCTGAGTAATATTAACCTAGTAATAATAATAATAGCTCAATGAAATTGGAAAAGCGAGTCCATAGACTAGAAAGGTTTTAAGTACCTCCCGAACAGTAAATTCATCGTGAAAGATAAACGCAAGCACAAGACTCCCACCGACAAGAATGTAGTGACGGAATGTATCCAGCTCCTTATCATACGTCCGCCGTACCAGTGGATGCGCGCGCATACACCAAACAATGGCAATCGAGCTTGATATGAACACCACCTTCATTACCGAATTGTAAACCGAGACGAAAACCGTGAGTAAGTCCAAGTAACGTGTCAAAAACACCAAGACATAAAGCTCCTGCGTCTTGAGGGAAATCCCTACATCCCCAGATTTCAAATAATGCCTATCAAAATACTTCGCAGAAAACAAAAAATAAAAAAAAGAAGTAGAAAGATCAAGATCTAATACCTGAACAAGTTTTTGTAGCATATATCTTGAGGAGGAGAACAAGGACGCTGAATAGATGCGTCATGTCGCCTGCTAATCGGAAAATATTCATGGCGGAGAAATAATATAGCCCAGGATTGACAAGAAAGTTATTACGATAAGAGATTCCGGCTCCGGATCCCCTGAGCTAGGGTTTTGGGAGACGGGGAACTTCGAGAAATTCGAAGGAGCTCTTCGAGATGTCAAAAATGCTGCTGAGCAGAGAGGAGAGAAAGAACCCGGGAGGCATTCGTGGGAATGGAAACGCTGAGGTGGCTTGATAGTTTGGCTTTTACGGGCCACGTTTATGCAACCCAATTTGATGATTGGGCTCAGTTGCATGTGGCCAATAGGCCTCTTTACACAATTGGGCCATCTATTAGGCTCAGTTAGCCCAATTATATTCTTTCGGAGCATATATGACTAATAAGTGCGCTTGTGTCATTATCATTAAATCTATCATATTGTACATTACGTGCATAATTTGAGAATATAAGATCATTATTTATGATGATCATTCGTATGATTTGCAAAATTGTTAATTTTGGCGATTAACAGCCTGACAATTTACTAATTTGTATGTTAAATTCAAAATTGTTCGAGAGACACCCCTAAGGGATGGAGCATGAGAACGAGTGAAAGAGATGGAAACAGAGAGAACAATATCACATTTTAAAACAGTAAAATCATGTAATATTTATTCATGAAATGAACCCTCTACTTATAAAAATGGAGGGAGCATAATTACATTTTATACTCTATAATACATTAATACAAATGGGGTATATTAGTCGAAAATGAATCCAACTTCCTTTTTGATTTTCTAACACGAGAATGTAGCATGGAGGATCAAGAGTGAATCATCCCTAGATGAAGGGGCCTATGACCCCTGCTAATTACGGTTACGGAGTTGGTTCCTCTATATTCCAAGGAAGATGGAGAGATTCATCTTCATGCATGGTAAACATAACCACGTATCTCTATGGATACCCAGAGATCCAACATGAATGAAAAACTCTCTCTCAGGAATCCAAAAATCCAAAATCTTACACCAAAATCCTTGAACCATAACCCAAAATATTTATTGAAGTTGTTATTTGACATATCATGTAGAGACAATGCCCACATTTTTTGCTCAAAGCAAGCATCCTCATGTCCTCCTTTATAAAAAAATGAGGTATTACACCTTATCAATTCAAAATGATCGATTAAAAAACACTAAAATACAGTTATCAAAGAACAATTACTTTCAATTATTTGGCATATATCAAAGCTATGAATAAAACTTTTTATATTCTTATTACAAGAAGAAAGCATTCATGTATGGATGTTTGTAATGATAACAAAAATTTGCTTATTGTTATAAGGGATAATTGTGGCGCAATAACTCAATTTTTTTCTACTCCAATTAAAGTAAAAAAAAATACTTAATAGGCAAAAACTCTTACTTGTATTTTTAAACTTCGTATTAAAATTCTTATTGTTGATCAAATAGAACTCTTATTTTTTATTCAATGTCAATTTCTATGGATCAAGTCATGAAACTTAGAAATCCAATATGAATCCTTATATGTGTGTGTGGGGGTGTGTGTACATTCTAATATTCAAAAATTTTGTCATTAAATGGTGGACTGCAATTAAAGTGGATGCACAAGACGCTTTAATTGATTGATAAAATAATTATGACAAATAACATATTGATATATAAGTTTTCTTCAAAAGTTAAAATTTCTTTAAAACTCTCCACAATAATCTCCGACAAAAAGTCCCAGATGAGTTAGCAAAAGAAATCAGGAAGATAATATCTAAGCTTGTTATAGACTTATTTTTTGATAAAGAAGAAAGGTGTACCAATCTAATGAAGTATCATATGCCTGTGAGGAAATGCCTCAAATTTGTGAATTACTACACCACATATTAGTCCACAAAACTTTTGATTTTTAAAAATCCATTAAGCGACGATCACATCAAAAGTAAAAGGAATCAAGACCACGTTAATAACAATCACCGTACAAATTAGATAAGTATTATAGTATAAAAGGAATCACGTGATAAAGAATGTATTCACTTTATCAATCAGATTACAAAAAATAATTTGTCACTTTTTATTATTCATTTTAATTTTTTTTATGTTTTGAAATTCGTTTGATGCCTAAGTTTGTATGTCTTATCTATGTGTTGAATCTTGATTTGTATGTGAATCACACCGAATGAATAAAACATATGACATAAGAGAGGTGTGTGTGTGTGTGTGAGAGAGAGAGAGAGAGGTGTGGTGTAATGAAGAATAATTTGAATTGTTTATTAGCCTTTCTTATGAAATGATCCTCATGTTTATTGAAAAAGAGGGTGTAATATGTGGAATTATATGTTTGTCTTTGTTTTAATGTGGGTGTTACATGATATTTTAGATATTTTACATGTATAGGTCTTTAGCTCGACTACCATATACCCTATGATATGGCGGTTGAAAACAATAAGTCCTGACAACTTTGTTGAATCAAAGTTGTTTGTCGCCTTTGTCGATCTTTGATGGTCTTCTGGTCGGCAAGACTTGACTCAATTGGCTTGATTTTGGTATGAGAGCACATTTTCATTTCCTATATAAGAGCAATGTGACTTTTTCAAAATTAATTTAAATATGGTGAGGTAGGTGAGCATAATAGTTCGCATTCATATTATTTTGGAAGATTGACACCCATACATGCCAATTAACACATATGAATTTACATATCTAACAAAAAAACTTTAATTTTTACGTACATGCCACCTTACCCATGTACAAAACGTGTATGTTGGCATTATCTTTTGATGTCAGAAGCGTAGAGTGTCTACTTGAACCACCAGGGAGTATTTTTCACGAGCACAACCTCACCGAGCTCAAGACATCCGATTTCAATCCTCTAGCACGCAGTTAAATGTACTTATTTTGGCTCTGGTTTTTACTAATGTGAAGGCTGATCAACATTACGTTTGTTGGACAGCTTTGAGCGGACAGACAGATTTCACTCGACACGGTACAAGCAAATTGGGCCTTCACTAAGTTTACTCGCCAACAAAACGTCGTTGAGATTGCCTCAGATTGTGAAGTGGATAGCTCAAATGAGTTTGGAGCGTCGTTTTCGCTGAGAGCGGGCTTTTTCAGATTCGAACGTGGTGTAGGTCCGCTCGAATAGGGGGGCCCAGTTCTACCAATTTCAGGTGTGGCCACGCCAAGTTGTCCCCCGCCTGTTTGATCTAAGCCTCATGACGTGATCATGCCCGAGGCCGAGGCCGTCGTAGCTACGTCGACCAGACAGAGTGGGTGGCGTAATTACGCCACCCTTTGGGTGCGGCAACAGCACTAGCCTGTTTGCAACGCCTATAGGGCGGTGTGACCACATCGTAAGTATTGCATAGCCACGTCGCCGGAATGCATTTCGCAAGTTGATCTCTGTTTTTATGGCGAAACGCCGTCTAACCGTTGTAAATTTGGCATTAACCGGTCCTAGGCAATTGTTTGCATCTGTGCTCGCCTTGAATGATCCAATAGGGCGTGGGGGGTCATTTCTTCCCCATTAACCATGGGATAAACTCCTTCTGTTGGGGATAGCTAAAGAGCCAGCCATTTGAGGAAGAAGAGGTCATTTGGAGCTCGAAGAGGAGGAGAGATTGAGGAAGCTCGTGTGTTGGAGGAGAGACCTTGCAGAAGAGTTCGAGGATTTGAGAACTTCTCCTACCATTTTACAATATTATTGTTATCATTCCACACTTTTAAATTTCTAAATCTATCAATGTTTAGTTCACTGAGCTTCTCACATTAAACTCATCCCCTGCATTACAAAAGCAATAATATTATATAAAAAATGTTGAAAGGATATTGACTGGGAGAGTGTAGAAAGCAAGGACATAGAGTAGGGACATGTAGGAATTATTAAGCTCTAAATCCATAATTTAAAAATATAAAAATTCATATTATTTGAATAGCAACATTAATATAATATAATATAATATAGTAATAAATAATTTAATTGGATTACTTATCTTTATGGGTTGATGCTTGCTCACTGATATTTAATGATGGGTTCAACCATCACCCAACCAATATTTCTTTAATATAGTTAATCTAATACATTATTTATCTCATTAATATTGTTTTTAAACATGTGGTATTTAATGTATGGATTTAAATTAAAGGGGAGGAATAAAAAAATAAATGGGTATTTACATACATACCGCCCAACACTAAGATTTGTTTTTTACATTTATACCACCCACTCTTCCGTATCACCCAAAAATATAATTATTTTAACTTTTAAAAAGTGAAATAGACTTTTTGATGCATATGTAAGAATTCATATATGTAGAAATTGAAGTTTAAATATTAGAAATGTAAATATACAAAAAAATTAAGGGTCGGTTTGGGGCAGTTGCAGCTTATTGAATAATCTGCTGATAAGCTGATTAAAATTAATCTGATGATTAGTTAAGTGCGGCGACTATTACAAATTTTTATTTTTTTTGGAAAAGTCAAATCACTGGCAGAAAGTTGCTACCGCACCAATATAGGTGCGGTGTAAAAACGCTGTTTTCGGCGCTGGCAGAAAGTTGCTACCGCACCAATATAGGTGCGTGTTTTCGGCGCTGTTTTCGGCGTTTAAAAACACATAAGCTGTCAAAACGCAGTTTACCCAAACAGACTAGGTGCATTTTCAAAATGTCACCGCACTAAATAAGCTGCCCCAAAAGGACCCTAAGTGGTATGTAAATAAATCTCCCTAAATCAAATAGCAAAAAGAAAAATAGCCAATTGGTCATTCAATACATAGCACACAATTCTTATGTATTTACGATCTCACCCCTAAACTTTTATATTTACAAACATAATATTAAAATTTTTAATTTCACATAAAAAATTATTCTCCTATTTTAAAAGTGAAGTACCAAAATTATCTACTAACTATTTACATTGAGCAATTTTAATCCCACTCTGTAAAAGTGTCAAATTAGTCCCTAAACTCTTTAAATTATAAATGAAATAGTCACACGAAGGACTATTACAACTCCAATTTAAATAGTTTTGAATTAATTTGACATTTCTATAAACTCTGAGACTAAAACTATCCCATGTAAATAGTCACGAGACTATTTTGGCACCTTACTCAAAATTTAACGTGCCAAGGTGCTACGCATGCAAATACGAGTTTCGGTCAGACATGTAAATACATAAGAATTACGTTCAATTATGTAAATTTCCCGAAAATAAAAGCGATGAAAATAAATAAAAAGAAAATATCATTTATTTATATATGCATAAA